GCAGGGAGCCCGATGCGGGACTCGATCCAGGGACTCCAGGATCATGACCTGAGCCGAAGGCAGTCGCTTAACCAACTGAGCCACCCAGGCGCCCTCAATCTTTGTTTTTAAACATGTACTTCAGACAAGTTTGATACCTGATTTCCAAGCCCAGAAGACTAGAAATCACGTTTAGAAGGGACAGGTGCTGGGGTGCCTGGATAGCTCAGTCAGTTAAGTGGCTGACTCTTGATTTTGGCTCAGGTCATGATCTCAGGGTCCTGGGGTTGGGCCCCATGTTGGGCTCCGTGCTCAGTGGGGAGTCTGAGGATTCTCTCTCTCCCTCTCCCTCGGCCCCTTCCCGCCCCCCCCCCACTCCTGCTTGTGCTCTCTCTCTATCAAATAAATAAATAAATCTTTAAAAAGGGGGGGCAGGTGAGGCTGCTGCAGACTGGCTCACTGATCCCTGCAGGACGGGGAGAGTTGCAGTCATGGCTGACCTGTACTGACTACGTGTACTGAGTACCAGGCATGTGCTAAGTGCCCCTGACATGGCACATTCCTCACAGTTGCCCATGAAGTAGACACGATTCTTTGCTGGTTCTGCAGGCAAGGCCACTCGGGCTTAGAGATTAACTTAGACCACTGGCCTGAGGTCACAGGAGGACAGCGTTGCAGAGGTCTTCGGCACTCTGCGGCCTGAGTTCTTACCTACAACACCTGACTGCTTTTCTCATGACAGTTGTAGCAAGTGACAAAACACAATAGTTCTCAATAGTGGAAAGAATCGTTTTAAGATTTTTTTTGACCGCAATCTGGAAGCATTTGGTGTAGCGGCGGACAGCTCTTCCGTTTTTAGCCAGAACACAGCACGGCAACTGGTGTTGCTAGTGGTGAACACCCGTCAGCCAAAGGAGCCAGTTTTCTGAGGAAGACACTCTGCAGGAGAGGAGTTTGAGATAAACAGCAAATACCTTTACTCATATTTTATATTAAAATAAAAGAATAAGAAGGAAGATACCACATGAATAGAGTACCAGTGGGGTTGTACATGTATTCAATTAGTAATTATGAGAACTGGGTGGGAGGATGGGTCAGCCTGGTGGTGGGTATTGAGGAGGGCACATTCTGCATGGAGCACTGGGTGTTATGGGCAAACAATGAATCATGGAACACGACATCAAAAACTAATGATGTAATGTATGGGGATTAACATAACATAATAATAAAAAATAAATAAAATAAAGATAACAATGCCATAGATTAAAAAAAAAGTAATTATGAGAACTATATAATAGTTAATAAATAGCTAGTGAATTTCCATTTACCATCACTTGACTAGGAGAAACTTCTTCAAGAACTCTTCCCACACAATTCCAATGATGTTCTTATGATTTGTTTGGTTTTGTTGCACATGATATGCATACAAAGAAACATTCTTTTCAGCCTGGAATTTGGAACAGATTGTGTTTTGCCTATGCTTGGTTTGAATTATGACTGTAGGAAATAGGCTAGACTTGAAAGGTGGGGATTTAGATTCAGAGACAGCTTACATGAAGTGCATTGCATTAATGTGTATGTCAGGACCAAAAATTATTGATAAGAAAATGAATATGGCTTTTTCCCTCTCCAACCAGCCAAATTCTCCCCACCCCCATCCAAAAAAAACAAAAAGTAAAAAGAGTCTTGCTTGGTGGATAAGAAGTTCAATTGTTTTGCACAATATGAGGGCAAAGAGAAGAAAGGGAGGAGGATAGAAGAGAGAAAAGTAGAGGAGAGAAAAGCCATGAGCTTGGATGAGCTCAGCAAGGAGTGAGCATAGACAGAAGAGATGAGACCCAAGCACTGAGCCCTGGGTCCCTCCTACAGTAAGAGGTCAGGGAGAGGAGGAAGAAAAGCAAATGAGCCTCAGACAGAGTGACCAGTGCGGGGGGAAGAAAACCAGAGTGTTGTATCCTGGAAGCTGAGTGAGGAAGTGGATCCAGGAGGAGGAATAACCAGAGACAGGGAGTGTTGACAATTCTTTTGAGAAGTTTTGCAATAAAGGGACAGAAATGTAGAATGGGAGCTGGAGGGAGAAATGAGGTCAAGAGAGGGACTTTTTCTGGATCGGAGATATAATGGCACGTTTCCATGCTGATGGGAAGGCCCAATAGGGAGAGAAAATACCATCGTGTAGGAAAGAAAGGGCAGAATTACTGCAACAATGCCCCTGCCTTGGTGAGAGAAGTTGGAGCCAGTGGACAGAGTGGAGGAAGGGCCTTGACCGGATGCACAGAGGGTTCATCTGAGGGAAGATGGAACAGAAGAGATGGGTGCAGAGGCTGGTAGGTGAGAGGATGTGGTGGTGGGCGTCTGTGGAAGTTCTCTTCTGCTAGCCTTCTCAGTATCACAGTGGTTATTGTTCTGATAGCAGCTACAGAAGGGGCATTCCTCAGAAGCTTATTTGGAAAGAGCAAAAACCTCTGAATGTCAATTATGTCCTTTATTCCAACAGAGGACTACCAGGAACTCATTGAAGACATAGTTCGAGATGGCAGGCTCTATGCCTCTGAGAACCATCAGGAAATACTGAAGGTGAGTACATAGCCAAGGAGGACACCACAGTCACCCGTCACCCACGGAGCTCCCGGCTCCACTGAAGGAAGCTTTACCTCTTGCTCCATGTTGCCACCTGTCAGACACTGGGCCTGCTCTGGGCTGAGGTCAGTTTAATATCTTCACCAGACTTAATTAAAAAAAAAAAAAATTCAGGTGGCTGTCTTCAGTGTTGCCAAGTGAAGTTGTATTTTTTTACATTTGGAAATGTGTGAAGGAAGAGTGGGAAACTTGCTTATCATAAATCCAAGCCAGTGGCAGATCGTGTTTCTATGTTCACTCTCCAAATAGTTGAAGATCTTTGGCTCCTTGTTTATCCTTCAGGCCTAAAGTTCACCCAATTTTAGATACTTGTAAGTAATCACCAGACACTTGCCACATCCCTAACCCTATAAATACTCCCCAGATTCCAGTATTGTATCTCATCTGGTTTAGAAAAAGAAAACTATTTTTTTATATATTCACTTTTCCTTTATAAAAATAATACATTTTTTCTGTAGATAATTAGGGAAAATAAAAACTGGAGAAAAGATAAAAATCAGAGGAAACAATTTTCACAAAGTGTTTCTCAGCTACTCAACCTACTGTCCAACCCAGGACCCCAAACTGGGTCCATTATAGTTCCAGTGGCAAAATGTTGGAATGTTTAAGTATTTTGGCCCAGTAACAAAACTCACGTTCTTTTTAGGATAAGAAACTGATCAAGGCTCTGTTTGACGTCCTGGCCCACCCCCAGAACTATTTCAAGTACACAGCCCAGGAATCCCGGGAGATGTTTCCAAGATCCTTCATCCGATTGCTCCGTTCCAAAGTGTCCAGGTTCCTGAGGCCTTACAAGTGAGCCCGCCCACGAGCCCCTCGGTGCCACGCTCTGCCTGTGGGCTCTGGGATGCAGCCGTCTGCCTCTGCAGCCAACACAGTTGGCTATCGCGGCTTCCTGTAGCAGTGACTCATTAGAGCTCAATTTTTATAGATAATACAGATATTTTGGTAAGTTGAACCTGGTTTTTCTTTCCCAGCATTGTGGATGTGGACTGAGAATAGAATGGCAGGGAGCCCCCCGAGTCTCACTGCTGTGGGCAGACGTCTCGGATACATCAAGGGCTGGCTGAGCGGGACTCTAGTCAGCTCAGGCGAGACTCACCTGTCCTTCCTGGTTCTCGCTCCTCCTCAAGGGGGCCGTGGTGGGGAGGAGGCCACAGAAGGGGCTGCCTTGGCTGAAACTTCAGCTTCTTCCTGCCCAGCCCTCCCTAAGGGAGCCCTCTGCACCCAGGCTGTGACCAGGCAGAGCAGGAAAGGGGGAAGGGAGGGAGGGAAGGAGGGAGAGTCCTCCAGGCGCCAGGCACCCACCTGAGACCGGGGAGGACTCCGTTTCCCCATGGCCTTCTCCAGCCCGTGTGACCTAAGTCCCGCTGCGTGACCATGCCAGGAGCTTGGGTTCTAAGCAGTGATCACTTAAGAAAGTACTTAAAGCAGAAAGAATTAGAAATAAAAAGATAAAAATTAAGCACGTCCACAGACATAATCATGTAGCTCCAGGGACGGCCTTCCTTGCGACGAGCTTCTGCTCGGCGGCCTATGCACAGTGCTGGTTTTAGTGCCTTCAGCTGTCCTTCTGACACCCTGCTGGGCACTGCTGTTAGGGCCTGGAGAGTTCAGGGCAGATGTGATCTCCTTGGATGAGAATCATCTACTGTTGGGAAAAGTACTGACTCACAAACCTGAGTCCAGTGGGCTTGCCTCCACAGGTGTCCGGGGGCCACGTGGGACCCGGCACAGGCCAGACTGGCAGGTTTACTTTCCTTGCCCACGTCCAAGGTCAGACGCTGACTCAGCTCTGAGGACACGAGCAGCACCATCACGGGTGGGCCTGTTCTCTTAATCATCACACCACCGCCAGAAGCAGCTACACAAATCCCGCTCTCCAGGTACTGCAGAATCATCTTTTGGTCAGCACAGTGGGGCTTCACAGTCATTTTCTCCCGCAGAATCGGGAATTTTCAATATTATTTAATTTTTACAAATTTAAATCCACAGGCAAAAGTCTCATTACAGTGAATAAAAAAGAACCCTATCAAACAAGCTGCCATTTCCCTGAACGGGCTGGCGACACGGTGTTCTGTTACTTCAGTAACAAACTAACCCTGGACACACAACTCTCTACACCAAAGTACTCAAAAAATGGTTGACAAATATTTCTAAAGAAAACAAAGACTATTTTCATTATTGTTGAGCACACTTTTCACCTCAGTTGTTTTTTTTATTTTTAACCTATCCATCTCACTGATTTAAAAAAAAAACAAAAACAAAACCTAATCAAACTTTTCTTCTTTATTTGGATGGGTCCTAAATACCCATTTCCAAATTTCTTTTCAAAAATGGAAACATCTTCGTTTTTAAAACTAATCATCAAAATAAGCACTTGGAATTTGTCATCTCAGAACTTTGCCTACATTTCTGAGTCTAACCATAAAATGAAAATTCAAAGGTAATACGACCCGAGTCAGTGACCCGCCCGATGTGGGGGCGGGGTGAGCGGAATGTGCCATCCTGCCCAAGCACATCGGTAACTTGGTGTTCATGGCGGTGTGGTTCTGCATTGTGGGTGTCACAAGAAGGCCAGGGATGGAAATGTGTTGGGGGCTGGAAGGAGGCCGCAAAAACCTGGTCTCTGTGAGGCCCCCTCCAGGAGCAGGCCCGCACGCCAGAGCTGTGCTCCTGCTACAAGCATGAGCAGCTGTGGCCCCCCCCAAGCCCCCTCTCTTTCCCCGCCAACCACCCTGAGACACTGTGGGAGACTGGCTGCCTGTAGCTACTCTTGCTACCTATTAAACCAATAAAGATTTATTGAACGTCTCCTCTGGGCCGGGCACTGTTGTAGGCCCTAGGGATGCACAGTGACAAGGCAGACAGGGTCCTTGCTCTCGTGGAACTTAACATTTTAGAGGGAGGAGACGGCCAATGAGCAAATAAATCACCACGGAAAGTATCAGCTAGCCTTGTGTTACGCGGTAGGTTAATGTGCCAGAGGACCGCCTCGCGACTTGAGAATCCGGATCGTGGAGGGCCGCTCTGGGGAAATGACATTGCAACCTGAAAACGGCCAGAAGGAACCAGTCTTGGGACAGGCAGGGGGAAGAGCGCTCCAGGTAGAGGGAGGCCAAGTGCAGAGGCTGACAGGCAGGAGCCAGCCTGTGGGTGGTCACCGTGCAGAGAGAAGGCAGTGGGACGAGATGAGGCCAGGGGACTGGACAGGGGCCAGAGCGCATCAGGCTTTGGAATCCAGAACGAGAGGCTCGGGTTTCATTCTAAACATGTTGTCAAGCTTTCAGAGGGGTTGAGGCAGAGGAGTGGGATGCTCTGATTTATGTTGTTAAAAGATAGTTCTGGTTCCTGTATGAATACATTTTAGAAAAAGCCATGGAGGCAGAGAGCCATTAGCCAACGATTGCAACCAACCAAGCGGCCATCCAGGTGGCAGAGGAGGTGGTCTGGGTTAAGGGTGTGGAGTGGAGATGAGAGAATAGAAAGTTTCCGGACCGGTTTGGGGGCAGAGTGTAGAACCTGCATGAGGATTGGATGGAGGGGAAGGGAAGGGCAACCACCAAGGGGGCCTCCTAGTTGCCTGAGCAACTGGTAGCTGGAGGAGACGGGCCATTTCAAGTATGAGGTACCTGTTTAGGAATCCAAATTCAGAGTTCAGATAGGCAGTTGATTTTATGAAGTCCCAGAAGAGGTCAGCACTGGAATATGAATTTTAATGTCACAGAATAAAGACATGAGACATGAGGTTGAGGTCACCTGGGGCAAAGTATGTACATCAAGAAGACCAGGGAGCTCTGCATTCTGGGATTCCCTGTGTGGGCCCAGGACTGGGACTGGAGGAGCTGATTGTTAAGTAAACAGGAAGAGGTTGGAGCTGAGTTTCCCCTGCCCTCCAAGGGAGCTCATTCTGTGGGAGGACTCTGAGTGGAACTGGAATCTGTACAAGTCCTTCTTTCCAGCTGTGGATATTGTTCTTGAGCCGTTTACTCAAGTACTGCATTTATGGATTTAGCAACGTTGCCCTTGAGTTTCCAATGCTAATAAAAGAGTGTTTGCCTTTTCACACTACCAGATGATTATCTTCACTGTGGAAAATTGCTTCCTCTGAATCATTCTCTGAGCTGTTAAGTGTGTTGTCTGTAGGCATTCACTGGATTTAGGTTTGCAGGTGATTTTAAAATTGTCATGTGGTAATTTGGGAGAGATCACGGCTGCACAGCACAAAGCAAGGACTCACTTGCCCTCGGGCAGATCTTTATGGGGAGAGCACCAGGGCTGGTGCCTGCCGTAGGCTGCGGCAGCTGGTGGGCCTGTGCGCTGGGAAACCCAGGCACCCACACCAAACCCAGCCTGATCCTCTCCTCAGTCCAGAAGGGATGCCCCTTACTAGGGCTTTCAGCATCTCTGCTTCCTTTCTCACAGCAGGATGGGTCCTGAGAGCCTTACCCAAGTCTTCATCACTCTTAGCCAGTATCTGGGAGGCAAATGGATTAGATGAAGAGTAAAACAGTTCCTCACCAAGTTCAGGGAGGTTTGTTATCTATGGCCTTCTTGCTAGGCAAGCCATCCTTTGAATCCAGGCCCTAGACGTAGCCACGAGGGGCCCATCCATAGGAAATTAGAAGTTTTGGTGAGGCTTCCTTCTACTCCAGGGGACTGTGAACCCAGCTTGAGTTTCCTGAGTATTGGTGGTTCCCTGCTTCCTTCTCCCTTCAGGCAGTCCTGATCAGCCTGCAGGAGACCATCCTCAAGGCTCTGAGGCCCAGCAAGGCTGCTCCTGTGATAGACAGCCATAAAAACCTAACTACTCAACAGGGATCACTTTCCAGAGAACGCAGTAGATTCAATATAGCTTTAGAAAATGAAACCACTCTAATTCTCAGGCAGGTTGTGTTAGCTGAGTGAAAGGGACACACATTCACCTACTGCAAACAATGACAATAACAGCATTGTTTGGTTTTCAGAGTATCTCATTAGGGAAATGAAACCACAGACCTTGGTTACTATTAGTTCTCTGTTATGTGTTTGCTCACTTAGTCATTTATCCAACATATTTCTTGAGGGCTTACTAAGTGCTAGGTACCGTAGGAGCAGATGGTGCTGTAGTGAGCAAAATAAAGTCTTTGTTCTTGTACAGTTTAGATTCTTATGAAGGGAGACAGAAAATAAGCAAGTAAACAGAAATTGTAAAGTCAAGTGTGATAACTGTTTAAAGAAAGTAAAGGGCAAAATGATAGAGGATGAGTAGGTGGTGAGAGGGAGTTGCTATTTTAGGTAGGGTGAGCTCACCGTTACAGTCATGAATCCAGGCCTCTCCCGGGGCACGGACTCCTCAAACCTACCCTGTAGCACTGGCCCTGGCAAGCTCCTCTACCCACCCAGCAAGCTCTTGACATTTCGTCTCCCGCCAGGCTGACCAGAGCTCCCAAGTTGTGAACAAGCCATTTTGCAATTCCTGGGACAGGCGCCACCTCGTGGTTGTAAAATGGAATAGACGCGTGTCTCCGTGATCCCCCTGCTTTGGAGCTTAAATGGCCACAATTCAAGGCGAAATGTTACCAGTGAGATTTGTGGACCAGGGCTGTGGTTTGACAACTGATTGATTGCATGTTGTTGAGTACAGCCCTCAGAATGTATCTGTTTAGATCTTTTCCTTCTCTCTGCCTGGCCTAATGACTAATGTCTAGGTGGGAAGTCCTTGATTTGGGTCTTTTCAAACTGTTAACAGTGCTCTGAATCATGTCCAAACATCCCCCCCCACACACACACACCCTGTACATTCATTCATTCATTGTAATGGTCTAGACACCATGCTAGGTTGGATCTATATTGCTGAGACAGGAGGGAAAAGGAGTTGTAAGAATGAGGGGGGCAGGGAGTCCCCAAACTGTAATTTTGTGAAATGTTTCAGCACATGTAGTTCCAAGAGCTACCACACCTCCTGACTTGGACCAT